CAAGTACATAGCAGAGGCTCAAGTGCTTGGGCCATTGTCTACCATTTTTCTCAAGGCCATTACCAGGGAGCTGGATCAAAAGTGAAGCAGCTGGGACACAAACTGGCACCTGTATGAGATGGTGGCATCACAGGTGGCAGCTTTACCTGCTATGCCACAAACTGAGCCCCAGTCTTTTCTAGATTTTATCTCCATCTGAACATCTAGATTTTGTCTCCATTTATCAACCAGCACAGAAATTAGTATAAATATGTCAAACATTGAGGGCAATGAATTATTATTTACAAAATGACTTTCAAAAATAACAAACTATAATATCCTCAAAAACAAATAAGTATTTTTTTGTTTTTCAATTAAAGTTGTCACCTTAAGTTCATTAAACACTTTAGTGCTAGGTACGCATCATCTTGATATAACTGGCGGCAAGTTCGTTAGTAACATAGGTGCAAATGAACAATTATTTTGGTGATTTTCTTAATGCTGTTTTGCAAACTTTCTATTGTATGCATTTTGAACTTGCTCAGTTTTTGCTAATGGCAGTCTATTCTGGTGTTTTAATACTTTGTCTTTATTATCTCCAGTTTTCTGCCCAGTTACTAAGTTTATTAGTCAAGCTAATAGCCATGAATTGTGGTTCATTAATTGAAACTTCAGATTCACTGGTTTTAATAAAAAAGCCTAAATTCATTTCTTAAATCACTTTCCGACGTAGTTAATTTCTCCTAATCATGCCTTTTTTGTTGCATTTTCAATATCTTTGCATGAAAATAATTAATGAGCCTTTGATTCATTAGTGCTAACCAAATGGTGAGTTTGTACCATTAATAAACTAGAGAAGATAAAATTCTAATATTCTTTTTCAGGTGATATAATTTGAAGATGCTTTTCTGCTATCTAGGATTTAAAATGAAAAAGATTTCCGTATTTGAGATTAAATAGTAAATCTAAGAGGAGCCAAGTATTTAATTTTTTGAAGACCTTAATGTATCATTATTACTTATTATGATTCACTTTCTTGATATTATTACAGAGCTTTATTTTATAATAGTGTCATGTAGTCCTAAACTGTTATTTTATCTCTATTTGCTGTAACAATAAAATAAAATTTCAAATGTACATGAACAATATTTTCAATGAATCACAAATAATTTAATATGTAATTGTGTATACATATAAGCATACAGATGTATACATATACTAGAAATAAAAATATAAATAATATTAGTATAATCCCTAATGGTAGAAAATATAACTTTCAATTGCCAGATATGCATTTTATTTGTTTTTTAAAAAGATGTATTTATTTGAAATGCAAAGTTACACAAAGGAAGAGGCAGAGGCAGAGAGAGTTCTACCATCCAGGGTTCACTCCTCAAATGGCTACAATGGCTAGAGCTGAGCAGATCTGAAGACAGGAGCCAGGAGCTTCTTCTGGGTATCCCACGTGGGTGCAGGGGTCCAAGGCCTTAGGCCATTTTCTACTGCTTTCCCAGTCCATAGCAGAGAGCCAGATTGGAAGTGGAACAGCCAGGACTTGAACTGGCACCCATTAGGGGATGCTGGTGCCACAAGTGGAGGCTTAGCCAACAACTCCACATCACTAGCCCCCGGATATCCATTTTGAAGTTTGTTTATCAATATTTATTTGAAAGAAAAAGGGAGAAAGATTGATTTTTTTCATTGATTAGTTCACTCTCAATTGGTGGAAACAGTCAAGGCCCAATCAGGCCAAACCTAGGAGCAAGAAACTCCATCCATTTCCTGTGTGGTTGACAGGGACCCACATACTTGAGCTATTATCTGCTACCTCCCAGGATACACTCAGTTGGTGGATATCTTATCACTTCTTTGCAGAAGAGAGGTCTTCATTGACATGGTGGATGTTAAAGCTGAGTAAAAGTATACTTGATAGTCACAGTGCTTGACATCTTTTATAGCGTGTTAAGTTCTACAAAGCTTTTCATGCATTTCTTGGAGTCTAGCACAACTGCAGTGTCTTGTGCTGCTTGGGGACCAGTAGGAAGCAGTCCCAAGGGGAAGGAATCACAACTGGGAGCAATTAAGACTGATTCATTTGTGGCTGAGAAAATCAGAATGGAAAACACAAACACAAACAAAAAAAACCCAAAAACCTTCTACTTGGGGATAAGAAGTAGCGCATTCCCAAGCATTTCTGAGTTAAGTACAATTATCAGAGGAAACTAGGATTGGAGAAAGATGTGAATTTCATATATCTAGAGGTTTTAACAGCTTACTTAATGTCTACCTAACCCCTGTGTATTGACTCCATTGAATATTTGCAAGAAAAAGAAGTTCAAATAAATTAACCAACTTTTCTTTATACACATTTCCCAACTTTGTCATATAATGCAGGGTTTCTGGAATATATTCCTTTGAATTTATAGGTAGAATATAGATGGTTTCATAACTTCTTACTGTTTATTTTGTGGGGTTTGGGAAAGCTGTGGTGTCCGGGAAATTGGCAAAGCATATAAATATCAGTTCCTTTGAAGGAAAAAGTGCACATTGTTGTATATGAGATTGGCCTGAATTATCCTTTAGAAACTGTAGAATAGTCCAGTTGGAATTTTAAGCAAGAGATATCCAGAATCTTTATATATTATTCCTGAAACTGCCACCCTGGATAAAGAATTGGTTTTTCAAGAGCCAGATAAGGTTGTGCTTAATAAGTTAAAATAAATTAAATAAAATGACAATAGAATGCATGGTTTTTACCAGTTTCTTTTGCTTTATATGTGAATTATAGATGTGTACTGTAAACACATAATATTTCTTTTGAATAAGTAGAATTGGATCACTGACAAATTATAAATTAAATAAAAAGTTGTTTTGTTAGGCTTTTTAAAGTAATCTATCCAGAGACTCATTAATTCTCAATTCTATTTATCAGTTGGTGCTTTGTTGTTTTATAGAAATATCCTAACAGTATACTGAAATTTCTGTAGCAGGGATATTATGACTTAATATTGGGATGTTTTAAGAAATAATGGTTCTAGGGCCGGCGCCGCGGCTCACTAGGCTAATCCTCCACCTAGCAGCGCCGGCACACCGGGTTCTAGTCCCGGTCGGGGCGCCAGATCCTGTCCCGGTTGCCCCTCTTCCAGGCCAGCTCTCTGCTGTGGCCAGGGAGTGCAGTGGAGGATGGCCCAGGTGCTTGGGCCCTGCACCCCATGGGAGACCAGGAAAAGCACCTGGCTCCTGCCATGGGATCAGCGCAGTGCGCTGGCCGCAGTGCGCCGGCCGCGGCGGCCATTGGAGGGTGAACCAACGGCAAAGGAAGACCTTTCTCTCTGTCTCTCTCTCTCACTGTCCACTCTGCCTGTTAAAAAAAAAAAAAAAAGAAATAATGGTTCTATTTTTATTTCTTTTAGCAGGCAAAATGAGTTATTTTTATATGTGATAATCTTAACACTATAGCCTATTGTATGCAAATTTTTCATAACCCTTTTCTCTTTGTCCTTTCCTCCTTTTCCTTCTTTCTTTCTTTCTTTCTTTCTTTCTTTCTTTCTTTCTTTCTTTCTTTCTTTCTTTCTTTCTGCCTTTCTGCCTTTCTGCCTTTCTGCCTTTCTGCCTTTCTGCCTTTCTGCCTTTCTGCCTTTCTGCCTTTCTTCTCTTTCACTACTGAGCATGATAAAATGTCATATTTGAGGAAGAGAGTTAAGACCAATATTTGAAATATATTCCAAATATGTCACTCGGAGGGACTGATGGTTCCAAGAGCATAAACGGTAGAAGACAGGGGACACATTAACTACAAAAGATGTGACTAGCAGGGTGATAAATTACTGAACTGAAATTTGTATTGGGTTTAATTTTTTTTCAAGGGGAGAGTTAGCATTTTATTAGAGAAGACAGAGAGGCTCAGGCTCTATAAACATAGTTTTTTGAGTATCTTGAAGCTCCAGCATTTACAGAGAGAGGAATTGGGAAGGTCAGGAGTCCACCCTCCACAATGGGGTGCCCTGTATGCCCTACCCACATAGGAATGGGAAAGGGAAGAATTGAGAGAAATTCTAGACTCCCTGTTCTACCATGGAGCCCAAGCCCAGGCCTCTGGGATCCCTCGGTAGTTCCCAGTGGCCCATGGAGAGGCTGGTGGGAGGCCTGAGTTAGGGAGAGAGCCTGACTTGGATTTTATGTCTTCCGGGTCATAGACATAGCATCGCACACAGCCAGCATTCACAGCTTTGGAGCCAGGCAGGTAGCCAGGCAGTAGGGAACTCAGCCACGCTCAGCAGTCAGGGTCTCCCCGCAGCGCTGGCACCTGAGAGAGTCGGTGCCGGTGTCTGCCCAAAGACATCATCTTCTCAGCAAAACAGACCGGCTCCCCAGGGAATGGCCTCATGTGGGATGGGCCTTTCTTGCCATGCAGGAGGCGGGCCCTTGGCCTAGCAGGGCTGAAGCTGCTAGGGCTGAGGGGTGAGATGCTGGCAGGGGTGGAGTTGTGTGGGAGGTGTAGAGGGAGGAGGTCCCAGCCCACACCACTGGTGTTCACCGTCCTGAGGCATGGCTTGTGGCCGCATGGTCTCCACTGTGCTCTGTAGGCCCGTCAGGGGACAGGAGGCTGTGGAAGCACCCATGTCACAGGCAGAAGTGGTGCCAGGGAGCTCACCTTCTCAGATGTGGGGGACAAGGTGGGACCGGGTTGCTAGCAATGCGGGTGGATCCAGCTCATGGCTTGGCTCTGGGCTGCCGGCCAGGCACTGGGTTTAATTTTAAGATGCACCATTTACCTCTAGCTTCAGGAGCCTTGGTTCGTTGGAGTACTTCACTCAGTTTAAAGTGTGATTATACTAATTTGGCATGTTTGGTGATTGTCTTGCCTTAGTGTTACACATTTAGAAAAGCTTTATTAGGAGTATATGAACAATATTGTATTTCTTTTGTAAGAGGATTTATTCATTATAGAAGGAAAATGAGATTTGGCTAATTGGTAATAAGGATGGTTTTGCTAATTAGGTGATAGTGTGACCATACTCCTTTAGTTCAACAATCAAAATATGCAAGTTCAAGGTTTGGATGAAGGTGTCTTAAAGCATGTTTCTTTGGTTGCTTGCTTTTTAAAATTTTAATTAGCTTTTAACAGAATCAACATGATTTACAGATACAATTCTGATAAGAACAGATACTACTATTGATCTTAGCCAAAAGGCCGAGAAGCGATGTATAGATACAATTCTAAGAACATAATGATATTTCTTTTCTCCCTTCCTCCCTGCCCTTTTTTCCTTTAACCCACCCCTTTTTTTAGTTTTTGAGATAAGATATTTTAAATTTACATTACTGTAAACAGATTTAAGAATTCACCATAAATGAATTTAACAAGTAAAAATAAAAAAGAACCTAGCTTAGTGGGAATATAGACAATAGCTATCAACAGTAGTTGAATGGACAAATGACCATTTCATCCATATACAATAAGTTTTAAAGTAATCACAGGTCATTAAAAGTATGGCAGTGTAACATTCTTAGTCATTGATTTGAAAAAAATTATAAAGCGAACTTTTACAAAACTATATGTACAGCAATATCGATACATTTGTCTTTCTGGATGTGGCTTATTTCACTCAACTTGGTGTCTTCAAATTGCTCCATTTTACTGCAAATGGTAGAATTTCATTCTTTTTTATAACTGAATAATATTCCATTGTTTATATATATCAAATTTTGTTTATCTAGTCATCTGTTGATGGACACCTTGACTGGTTCCAAATTTTGGCTATTGTGAACAGTGCTGTTATAAACATGTTGGTGCAGCTATCTCTCTTTCTCTTTGTTTCTCTGTCTCTTTTTAAAGATTTATTTATTTATTTGAGAGGCAGAGTCACAGAGAGAAGGAGAGACACAGAGAGGTGTTTAATCTGCTGGTTCACTCCCCAAATGGCCACAGAGACCAGAGCTGGTCCAATCTGAAGCCAGGAGTGCCTTCCAGGTCTCCCACCTGGTGCATGAGCCCAAGTACTTGGTCACCTTCCACTGTTTTCCCAGGCAAACAGCAGGGAGCTTAATCTGACCTGGAGCAGCCAGGACTCGAACCAGTACCTCTATGGGATGCTGGCATCACAGGTGGAGGCTTATCCTACTATGCCACAGTGCTGCCCCCAGGTATCTCTTTGATACATGTGTTCGAGTCTTTTGGGTATATAGCCAGTAGTGGGATTGCTGGACCATATGGCAAGCCTATTTCTAATTTTTAAAGAAATCTCCACATTGTTATCCACAGTGGCTACACTAATTTACATTCCCACCAATAGTGTATAACTGTTTTCTCTTTGTCCATATCCTTACCAGCATTTGTTGCTTTTTGTATTTTGTATTTTATCATTCTGACAGGGGTGAGGTGATATTGTGGTTTTGATTAACATTTCCCTGATGGCTAGTAATGTTGAGCATTTTTTCATATATTTGTTGGCCATTTGTTTTTCTTCTTTTGAGAACTGTCTATTGAAGTCATTCACTGATTTCTCAATTGGATTTTTTGTTGAATTTTTAAAATTGCTGATGTATTCAGGATATTAATCATGTCAGAAAAAAATCATTTGTAAGAGAGGTGGTATGTAAATATTTTTCCCATTCTGTTGGGTGTCTCTTTACTCTATTGATCATTTGCTTTGCTGTGCAAAACCTTCTGAGATTGATATAATTACATTTGTTTAGTTTTGCCTTTGTTGCCTGTGCTTTGGGGGTCCCTTACACCAATGTCTTGGAGTGTTTTCCCTACATTTTCTTCCAGTAACGTCATAGTCTCAGGTCTTAAATCCACCTGGAGTTGATTTTTGTATATGGTGAGAGGTATGGATCTAATTTCATTCTTCTACATATATACATCCAGCTTTGCCAGCACCATTTGTTGAAGAGATTATACGTACTCCATGGTATGGTTTGGGCACTTTTTGTCAAAAATCAGTTGGCTGTATGTATGTGGATTAATTTCTAGGCTCCCTATTCTGTTCCATTGATCTATGTGTCGGTTTTTATGCCAGTACTAAGCTGTTTTAATTACTGTAGCTTGGTAGGATGCCTTGAAATCGGGTATTATGATGCCTCCCACTTGATTTTTTTTTTTAAGATTTATTTTATTTATTTTAAAGACAGAGTTACAGAGAGAGGTAGGGTCAGAGAGAGAGGTCTCCTATCCACTGATTCACTCCCCAGATGGTCGCAACGGCCGGAGCTGCACCGATCCGAAGCCAGGAGCCAGGAGCTTCTTCCGTGTTTTTGTCTCTAATTAATTTACTTATTTTTTTAATTGATCATCTCAATTAGCTTTTAACAGAATCACGTGGGTGCAGGGGCCCAAAGACTTGGGCCATCTTCTACTGCTTTCCCAGGCCACAGCAGAGAGCTGGATGGGAAGAGGAGCAGCCAGGACTAGAACCAATGTCCATATGGGATGCTGGCGCTTCAGGCCAGGACTTTAACCCGCTGTGCCACAGTGCTGGCCCCCCACTTGATTCTTTTTGCTCAGGATTGCTTTGGCTATTTGGGGTCTTCTGTGATTCCATATGAATTTTAAGATTGTTTTTTCTAACTCTGTAAGGAATGGCATTGGTATTTTGGTAGGGATTGCATTCAATCTGTAAGTTGTTTTAAGTAGTATAGACATTTTAATTATATTGATTCTTCTGATTCATGAGCAAGGAATATCTTTCCTTTTTAAAATGTTTTTGATGATTTCTTTCATCAGTGTTGGATAATTTCCATTGTAGAGCTCTTTAACTCCTTTAAGTTTATTCCTAAATATTTGATTTCTTTTGTGGCTCTGGGGAATGGGATTTCTTGGTTTCTCTTTCTGTGAATTCATCATTAGAATACAAAAACACTATTATTTTTGAATATTTATTTTGTAACTGTAACTTTTCTGAGTTGGTTTATCAATTCTAACAGCATTTTGATGGAGTGTTTAGATTTTTCCATATACAATATCATGTCATCCACAAATATGGATAATTTGATTTCCTCTTTCCAATTTTTATGCCCTTTCTTTCTTTCTCCTCCTTAATTGCTCTTGCTAAAACTTCCAGTATTATATTGAGTAAGAATGATGAAAGTGGACGTCCTTGTCTTGTTCCAGATCTCAGGGAAAATGCTTTCAGTTTTTTTACTATTCAATATGATATTGGCTGTTGGTTTGTGATTAGTCTTTATAATTTTGAGGAATGTTTCTTCTAGACCTAATTTATGAAGGGTTTTTATCATGAAGAGGTGTTGAATCTTATCAAATACTTTCTCTATGTCTATTGAGATGTCCATATGTTTTTTGTTCTTAAAACATATTTTAGAAAAATTAATATAAAAATTATAAAATATGACATTGGAAAATGTGTAATACAGTTCACTATATATTAATTATATTGTATTTTTCTTTTTCCCTTTCATTTTTTATCAATTTTATTATGTATTTCTGTTACCTACTTAAATTATTTGGAAAATTTCAGATGTATATCAAAGTACAGATAAAATTTCAAAAATTTTTTAGGTTATAGAAGACCAAAATAAACATGGCTTAAATTACTATGTTCCCCACTTCTTAGAATTCAGTGAGAGAGGCTTGTGCTGCAGGGTGCAGGGGGTTTAGCTGCTGCTTGCAGTGTGGGAGCTGGTTCATGTCCCTGCTGCTCCATTTCCAATTCAGCTCCTGCTAATGTGCTTGGGAAAACAGTGGAAGATGGACCAAGTGTTCGGGCCCTGCTACCCAAGTAGCAGACCTGGGTGAAACTTAGGGCTCCTGGCTTTGGTCTGGCGCAACCCTGGATGTTGCCTCCATTTGGGGAGTGAACCAACAGATGGAAGATCAATCTCTGTCTCTCACTTTCTTCTTCTCCCTCTCACTCTCTCTCTCCCTCCCCCACCACTTCTCCCTCTTTCTGTAACTCTGCCATTCAAATAAACAAATTAATCTTTAAAAAAATTAAGAGAGAACAATTTCTGTAAACTTTGGTTATAAAATCAGTAATTGAGATGATCAATAAAAGAAATAAGTAAATTAATTAGAGACAAATACAAAATACAAGACAATTATCATTAAAACAAAATATTTCTGAACTGAAAAGCTTGATGTAGATTTCTGAAATTTCTCCTCATACTCTTTCATAAGGTAAGAGCATTGCAACCCCAACATGTTGCTAAAGGGTAAAAGATGCACTTGGTATCAAGTGAAACAAGGTTTGCACTCCACTGCCACCATTTGTAATTCATATTTCTTGGACTTTTTTTTAACTTATATAAATTTCATTTTTTAGCTATAAAATGCTACTAACTCCTATTTTGTACATAGTTTGTTTGAAATGTATGTATTTATAATGCATAGAATTAATTCAGATGACAACTTTTAGTTATCACAGAACCAGGTGGTAACAGAACTAGGGCAGGGCTTAAAAAATGTTTTTTAATTTTAATATCATGCAAACTTTGTCCTTTAATCTATTCTATTTCTATTATTTTTCTCTATAATTTTTGTTTGTTTCTGAAAGGGGGAGAGAGAGAGAGAAATAGTCAAAGAGATCTCTATCAACTGATTCATCCCCAAAATACTGTGGTGGTCAGAATTGGATGAGGCTGAAGCTAGGAGTCAGAAACTTAATTGGGATCTTCCATGCAGGTGTAAGTGACCCAAATACTTGAGCTATCACATGCTGATTCGCAGGGTGAACATTGGTAGGAAGCAGGAATCTGGAGTGGATCTGGGAATTAAATCAGGTACTTTGATATGGGATTATGGGTGTTAATAAATGTTATTGTAACCATGCTGCCAACAGTCTGAAAGGCAGAGTTACAGAGAGAGGGAGATATAAATAGAGAGAAGTCTTCCACCTGCTGGTTCACTCCTCAAATAGCTATACCAGCCAGGAGCCTGGAACTTCATCCAGGTTTCACATGTGGATGCAGGGGCCCAAGGACTTAGACCACCTTCCACTGCTTTCCCAGATGAGCTGGGAGCTAGTTGGGAAGTGGAGCAGCCAGAACTTGAACCAGGATCCATATGGGATGCTGGCATTGTAGGTGACAGCTTAACCCACTGCACCACATCACCGACCCCATTCTTACTTCTATTGAAGAGTTCTGATTAGGCTGGTCTTGGAAATGACATTGTTGGACCAGATTTTTTGACTCTAAAGGGATCTCCGCATCCATATTTCTTTCTTTCTCCCTTGCTCCTTTTTA